TCGGCGGCCATGAACCTGGTCACGATGATTAGCGAGATTGGCAGCACGAGACGGACGTGTCGTTGGGCGACACAAACCATTGGATCAGCATGGCTTGGAACTGGCATCCAAACGAGTCGGGGTTGTCCAGGAAGGACCGCGCCATCAGGGTCGCGACGTTGCTCGCCATGTTGCCGAATGTTGCGTAAAACACGAGCCTGTTGACGGGCTTGTCTCGGAACGCACTGAAGCATGTAAATGTCGTTATGGTGAAGATGCAGCCCAGCAGCGAGATGGCGGAGCACAGTCGCTCCATGATGCTGATGGCATGGAGCTGGCTCTCTGTAAGTTGACTCATGATGGCCGGCCCGCTGCGTCGACGCCGCCGCCCGATGCTAGTTACACGAGATCTCGAGATGTCAATGTGGCCGCTATCGGGGCGCGCCTGGAGCCGATATGCTTGGGCATGATTGACAGGGCGGGTGATGCATTGGAAGTTGGTGACGCTTGATAGCAATATGTCGGTGTGACGGAATACGGCAAGGCAGGGGATGCCAGCGGTTGTGACTAGACGACGAGGCCGCGTCTGGACTCTGTCAAGGCGCGAGCATGCGGTCTGGAGCTGTCTTCTTAAGAAGAATGGCGACGATGAGCTTCACGGTGGCTGGGAGCGGTCTGATGGCTGAGACACCGCCCACGTGATGGCGACCAAGACGTTCCCCGACTCAGCGCAACGCCATGGACAAGTCGGTGGAAAGTTTGTTGCAGTAGCTGGAGATTATGTAGAGACCTTAGATATAGTACATGGAGGATTGTAGCGCTGGTGGCTGCTCGAAGAAAGCCACATGCACCGTCTTGGACCCAAGTCCTGCGTCCTGACGCCTCCACGGAATCCGGTCCGACAATCGATTTATTCTCGCAGCATCACACCTGGGAGGCACCACGCCGGTCAAAAAGGGCCTTTCGTGCCTTGGAACGCTTGAATGAGAAGATGGGAAACATGAAACTAAAGGCGGAGAGCGCAAACGATGTCTTGTTCGGTGTCTGATCATCTTGATGGGTTGGGCTTAAACCGTTTCTCCAGCCGAACGCAGCTCCACATTCCGGAACTGGTTCAATTACTCTGAATTTGTCCTTTCCCAAGTCGGATGTGAATTGTTACCCGTGCCATCATCGCTTCATCGCCCTTGATGTCCAAGGCTTGGCCGGCCAACTTTGTGCCACAGCAGTCGGGGAACGAGGAGGCTTTTCTGCGGCGAGTCAATCCCATCCGTCGAGGCCATGGCAGAAGCTCCGTCAATCCAATCGCTATGGCGAGAGCAGTGCCGAGCGCACAGCCAGCTATTGACGCCATAGGCCGTGTGTGTGCCACCAACGTAATCGCCGCCGCCGCCGAAGATATGGTGGACAAGAGTACTGGGTAGCCTTCCCCATTTCGGGACCGCCCTCGGTAGTTGAAGAATTAATTGTACGGGTTGGGAGCTGCAACCGGACCAGATCTTGTAGCCGACGAGTCGCCGCATATCCAGACACATGCCGAGCTTGGCGGACTGGGCCCACGGCTTTGCTTTTGCCAGATATGTTTGTCCGATATGGGATCGGTGAACGGAGTACTTGTCACATCTCAATTCATCTTCTCTAGGTCAGCGTCCAGCCTGACTGGCCACGAGTCACGCCCCAGCTTGCTACTGCAAACGTGGCTGAGCTGAGCCCACCAATACCGAAACATCTCAGAGGCAGGTCTGGGATGACCGCGACGCCAATGCATGCTGCTATGCAAGTTTCACGCCCGATGACCTAGCCTTATTTTGTCTTCTGGGCCGATGCTGCGCCAGACCCCATTGTCAAGGTTGGTAAGATATTTGCTGGCGTACAGAGCTAGCATTGAACTCACAAACAGCGGTGGTAGCTTTGCTGAGACGTGCCGCGGCATTTCTCACTAAAAGTTGGAGCGGCTTATACTGTCGTGCTTGAATTAACTTAATGACTTTGACCTAGCTTATGCCGGATTTTCTTGGGCTTGTATTTCCTCTCCCTCTCCCATCATGCTCTCGACGCTCCAGCTATCCATGCATGGTATTGTTGTACCAGGTCAATTAAACATTCAGACTCAAATGAGGAGGAGCGGCTGATGAGTCTCGTGATTCGCCTCTAGAGTCAAGGCTGTATACGTGTGCTTGTTAAAAACACTCTGTTCAGATCCCAAAGCGTCAATGTGGATCAGCACATCCGACTGAATGAATATAGCATGCCTTTAAAATAAGAAGTCTCGAGCTTTCACTGTCTGCCTCCTCAACAATAACTCCTAACGCATCATAAGAAACATTGCCACCTTTCAAACCCCCAAGACCGTTTGGAAAATCACAATGCCAAATTCATGAATATTGGAATACATTCTGCCACAATCCTCATCGTAGTCTGATGCTACGTCAAGAGTGAGCATTAGCAGTTTTACTGGGCGGGCGTGGACCAACATCCCTCCTCTTAACTGAAACGAGACAAGTTAGTTTATGGATAATGAAACTAGGTGCCGGATGCTTTTCTTACGGTGAGGCTTGAGAACCACATCCCGAATCATATCTTCATCAGGATCAGGAAGAAACCCAGCAAGGTCAACCACATATGCTAGCACCCAAGTGACTACCACCGCAACTGAAACCCCCAGGATGGTGCTCGTCATTCTCACGGTAACGTTCCAATAAAGCTCATGGGCCTTTTAATCAGCTGTACCTAGCAAGGAAATTGCATACAAGTAATATGATTTGAAAGTGTATAAGGAAAATACTAGAAAAATGATTGGCGTCTTGAGTTGGGATGAATTCGCTACCTTTCAAGGCGGAAGCCAAGGTGAAACACCATAGCTCTATCCATGGGCATTTATTTGTCTGCTGTTGGTAGTACAAAGACAGACTTGTGACTTTGTCAGCGGCTGACATGCAACGCCATCACACCCGTTCGCGCACTATGGCTGTCTGACAAGTTGTCCATCACGCGGCCATGCACTAGTCAGTGACGATTGGGTGGCGCCTTTTAACATTGAAATACCCAAGGCCGTGCAGTTTGTAAGGAGACGGATAGTGCCTTGGAGTATTTGTGGCAGGGGTAAATGTATATGGGATGGCTTATGTACTTGCTTATGGGAGAAACATGTAGTGAAATAACTAGTACGTATCATAGTACAAACACAGAGTACTGTGACACAGGTATTTGTGCCTGGGTATGCTAACTTTTTGATTTCACCTTGAAGTGAATTGTCGCAGAGTGAAGAACATAATCTACAACCATCGGCCAACCATCGGCGCGGGGAAGTATTGGCGCCATGTAGTACAACTGCTATGAACAATTATGCGAATGTCTCACAAATTACACGCCACAGGAGGAGGAGTGGGCAAAATTGTAGAGCCGAGGCAACAAGACAAGTCAAACTTGGCTGAATTGGAATTGAAACACTAGAGTTGTTGAATGCTAGAAGTCTTTGGCTCATACTTTGGTCACGGAGTAAGATGTTACCTTCTGTGCCATTATATTTGGAGGCGCCCCCGAATTCGTAGTGCACGCCACTTTTACATGACAGCACTTGAGAGTATTGATTACCTCCTACATGGCCCATTTCTCCGCAAGCCAATTATGTCCGAAGCTTACTCCGTACGGCCCTCTTAGCTACGGAGTATCTCCGAGACATTCATCGTTTACATCCCTGTTGTCGCGGCCAAATAAAATGATTCAGTGATAAGGTTTGGGTTACACACGACTTATATGTGCAGATATGCATGGTTCAATACTTCAACGGGGCTGCCGGCATGCGCATTTCCGCCATTCGCCTTGCAAGGAGGCGATATCCGCGGCTCCGACTTCAGTCAGAGTGATGCGGCATACAGAGTACACGCTGGACTAGATGGTCCTTGCTCTCACTGAGCCAAGGTTCAAGATTGGCGTTCTAATTTTATCATGTGTGCGGCTCGTGATGTCATTGGGGCTCGGCATATCCGATTCACTACCATGGCAATGAGTTCACTGTCAAAGTCGGACCATTGCTGGTCTAACTGATCTTGTTGTAGGGTACCCTGGGAGACGACCAGTTTCACTTGAGCATCGTATGATCTTCTATGGAAATGGAAAAAGTAGTTCGAATTTCCTAATGTGACAAGAGCTCGGAAAGAGGGCTTGGGGCAATAGCTCAATCCAGCGAATAACAGTCTTTGGTATCAAAGGTCCCTGGTTTTCCTTAAGGCCTTGAGGGACGAAAGGTGTCTATAAATATAAGAAGTCGGTGAGGGCCTTCTGCCCTAATCCCGTGGCCGTAGCCCTTGTGTAACAGGCCATTTCCGTGCATCGCGTAACTTCATTCGTTGCCAATATGCACAAGTTCATGGGTAGAAAAGAAGTGACAATAAGTACTGCGGTCCGTCTTCATTCTCAGCCTCTTCCATTCAACATATAAATGAGCTGCCTTGTATATCCGCTGTAATAAATGCCCTCGAAGGGGGACATTTTAGTTTTTTCACAGCATTCTGGCTTAGACAGCAAGTCATAAAAAGATCGGAAAACTGTCACTCGAATGTTAAACGAGGGCTACAATCACAAGACCTTAGAACACGAGGCTCGCCAGTTTGATGCACAGAGTCCTTTGGGTGATTTGAGCCTTGAAAATCAAGGACCTTTAATACCAAAGACTATTAATAATTAGATGTCACGAGGGTTCAATGCAGAAGGCTTGGAGTAAAGTACTCAATTTTTAAGATAATCTCAAAGTGTGTCAAAAGTCCTTATTTTTCCAAGAGGAAGAAAAGGATCAGTGACCATTATATATACAAGAAAGTAACGTGTGTGCCTAGGCTCTTTGCCCGGCCATGTGTTGAGTCTGTCATGGAAGCAAGAATGCGCTCCAAAGTAGAACCAATCAGTTGAAAACAAACTCTAGCCATGTCTTGTTGTTTATATCGCCTCCATCCCGCAGTCGAACAAATCGAGGTCTCAACGACCCGGCGTCTGTACATCGTGACCAACAAATCTTTGTCGTCTTACGGCCGCTGTCCTATAACGGCCCTGGTCATCATATCCAGACTTTCGATGTAACGCCCAATGGTGAGGATGTATTCCTTTGCGGCTTCGTAGTTTGTCGCGTTCATTGCGTAGCTATGCAACTCCACGGAGATCATGGACAGGTGGAATTTGATGTTTTGTAGATCATCCGGTCTGGACTCGAGCGCCTTCTCGAGCGAGCCTGATGCTGCGGCGGTTTCTGCGGTACTCTGCGCCCAAAGGTGCAAGGATTCCAACATATTGTCCATTACTACTTGATGATCATGGTATCCTAGCTGTGTGCAGCAGGCGAAGGTGGAGAGACAATCTTCCGTGAGATCTCTCACGGTCATGTCGGTAAGGTCGAGTGTTGGTAGCGGCTGGCTGGCCATGGTCGCGCAAAGGATGCTGATGGAATGGAATTGGAGGAGAAGTTGAGTAGAAGGGATGGAAATCTAAGGAAGGGGCCTGGAATTTATAGTCATTATAACCGCTTGGAAATCATTCGAGCAAGGCTATGAAAGGTGCCCATCGAGAGGCGGTTCTTGCCCTGCTTGACTCCTATGTTTCATTGGTTTACGGAAGCCGCTGTTTGCCATGTTTGGAGGATCTGTGATTATAAGACGATGAGCAAAGCGGGAACAAAGACAAGCGCGCACAATCGGGCTGCAGTGCCACAGAAGGAATAAACTCTTTCATCGCTGACGGTCTAAACCTAGGTCCAAGTTCACAAAGCCTCGAACTGCCAACCTACAATGTTTTCTCCCTCATGGAGTCCTGGGCTGTTCCTGTTAGCCTGGTCCGTCTCGGGGTATGACAGAACTCAAGTCCCGCACGCAGCAGGTCAAATCACATGAATGCTCTACCCGATTAGACAATCTACCGAATCATTGGCGCGGGACTGTATTGGATCTAGCTGTGAAAAGCGCTGTGCAATCCTCCTAGAAAAACCGACAAGATTCAGCACGGCAAGAATCACGGCTGAAGGATCAAGTCATAGGATCATGTACAAGTTGACATGCTCAGACTTGGCAACCTACTTGGGCTATCTTCAGCTGTAGTGAATCGGCTGTCATTGTCTGTCATTCTCACCAGCTATCGACTTGTCCTGTCAAACAGGTTTGTTCTCACATATGAAGCAGCACACACCTACTGGCCATTCACGACTTGGAGTTGGTGGAAACAAAATTCACGAGCGGCACGGTATAGTTCAGTCACAGTGAAAAGTGCGATGCCAGTGTAGATGAATACCGACCGCGCCTAAAAGTATTTGTATCCTTCCTGTTTGGCACACTGTCCGAGGCAAGGGAGGAAGCCATGTGAATATACTCCTTGCCTTGGACGAGGTTCACTACGCCTCGACAGTCGCTGAGCTTAAATCACCAGTAAACTGATGAGCATCATGGTCAAAAGAGCCAAACTTTCGGCCACTGAATCTGTCGCCACCAACATTCACCGGGACTGAGGCTGGCCAGAGCTTTGCAAAGAAACAGTGATTTTGTTTGTGGTGTTGAGTTCAACTTGTGATTGCGGCGCTACACTTGGGGACTCCCAATGCACAAGCAAAGCTGGGAGGTTTGATTGAGCACTTTATATTCCAGCTTTACTCAGCCAAGGTAAATAATAGACATGTACATGACACTCACACGTTGCTACGGGGTTTTGAAGCATCAAACGAAAAATCTGTCGCACCGCATGTCGATGGAGAGCATTCAACATCCAATCAGCGGTCAAAGATTCTACCAGTTGACATGACTTGGCGGGTAACGTGTGGATTTGAGCCTCATCGGGCATCAATCGTCTGTACGCAGAATATTTGTGCCCAACATTCAGCAGCTATGCAGTCATTGGTAACTATCTCTTGTGCTACCCCGAGGAAATCTCCTTTGGTGAAGGTTCTACAGTCTGTGGCACAGAGTATGTGGGCTCCCTAGGAAGTATACGCGAATATTTCCTATTAATACTATATTCCAGCACAGGGCGCGATAGCCAGGCACCGGTCTGATGAAAGCTTTTTGCCTCCGACTCTATGTTGCGATCGGACCCTATCCTCTTGTTCGCATTACATAATCTGCGGGGTAGATCGAGTGGCTATCATGCGTGCAAATCAAACCAATCATTCCAGTTTTTACATCAACAGCCACCCGCCACCCGCGAGGCGAATCACGGCAACCAGGAACCGCGGGTGACAAGGACGACCAGCGGGTTCCTCTGCATCCAACTTCTTTTCTACTTTCTTCCAACCGCTGTCAGGCCCTGTCACGCGAAACAATGGCCGACTTGGTGACGGTGGCTTTGTACCACCGAGACCACTTTTCTCAAGGAAACGCCCGACGAGCGTTTGGCTACGAAGCCTACCACTGGGGTATCCTCATCATGCCCCAGACGAGCCAAGGACAAGACTGCCACGTATTTGATGCCACCGACGCAAGTGACATTGACCCCGTCACGTTTCGAATGAAGAACCCTACTATGGACTGGTGGTTCCGTTCCAAGACCGATGCCGACCCTGCTCTTGGAACCAAGCTCATTGGGCGTATCGTCATTGGAAATGTGCCGGACGGGGTATCGAAGTCGGAGCTTGAGGGCTTTTTCGGCAAGGTTCCCCTCCCTGTGAAAAATACGCATCCCCAGCAGAGTTGCGTGACGTGGGTTGAGGATGCCATTCGAAACCTGCAGGAGGAGGGCTGGGTGCAGAAATTTGATATCCATCGGTTTAAAGACTGGGCGCTGTCTTATGCGGATGAGAGGATGAGAGGAGAGGATTCGAATGAGCCGTCTGTGCAGTATTATAGTGTCGAGAACTAAAACTGGGCAATACATGACTTTGCTCGTTTGCCTTTACTGTATCGCGTGTATACAGATTCTGCGTGGGATGGACACCAGAAACCAGAGTTTAAAGCGCAATAGCTGCCACTGTCGCTGGAAGAGGGGTGAGCAGGAGTCTCTTGTGCACTGGGTAAGTGAACGTCACTGTCGTAGAGAGTTTGATGAGTCTGAGTCATGAAACATTTCTTTGCTGATGTAAATACCAATCTGTCAGCTATTCGTAAACAAAACGAGGGGAATAATGAAAAGACGCTGTTCATAAACTCATATCAATGATTGGAAAGGCATTCCGAAGCCACCTGTCGGTAAAATCTCGCTCCTCTTGCACAAATTCGTTTCAATCTTGTCCTGGGGCATTTCATATGGCCGTCTCTGTCGCTAGTAATAGGAAGACCTGGACGATCCAGAGCCTTCTCCTCGTCGATGGTTCTTGTGCCTCTCTTGCTTTCCCTTTTCCCCCGCCTCGGGCCTGTGATAATTCGCTTGGGTAAAGTTGTTTGCCGGATTGGATGACTTGGTTGTGTCATGGTAGACTACATCGACGCCCATCCTATATCCTCTGTCTCTGTCGCAAATCACGCGGTGAACGCCCGCCGTTCCCGTCCCGTCACTGGCCTGCCACATTTGAACTCCTTTCAACTTCAAGGGATACTCTATTCTCGGATGGCAAGACTCCAAGGCGGAGAATTGTTCGAAATTTGCAAAATTCTTCGGGTATAGATTCTTGAAATCTTTGGAATTGCCCTCGATTTGATGGTTGTACTCCGGGATTTGGGCGACCTGAGCTCTGACATCGGATGCCCTCACGTATCGGCCGGGGTGACTCGGTGGCAAGTTGGAGCAAGAATACTATGGCAGTTTGAGTTTGACATACAAAGCGGGGAGGTGGTTGCTGAAACGAGAAACTTACAAAAGACTCGTCTTGGGGCTCATTCTTCGCAGGTGAACGTTTTTGCCGCGTCACATGTGTCCAGTCAGCGGACTCACTGGCCATAGTCAGCAATCCTACACGTGAAAATGGCTTGTGCGCTTGTGAGTCGGTACGTCATGGTCTCGTCGAGGTCCATGTCTCGACTTGTCTCCCCCCATGCGCTCGAGCTCGATGCGTCCATGGCTTGTCCTGTGAACCTGAAAGATGGGGGATCAGTAAAGGGTGTCGACTGGGACTGAGGAGATTGACGAGTACTCCATGGACAGACCGAGAACAGATATATAAGAACGTTGGGTTCCTAAGCCATGCATGGCGTTGGGCCTGGAGTCGCACCGCGCAATGCCCGATACCCAACATTGAAGGCCAACAACCAACAGAGCGGGTTGGGGGGGATCTGGCCACTTTTACCCCGAACTCCAGGTGAACTTAAACACCCGAGATCCTCGTACTGCAGTGAATTTGGGGGCCGGGCCGATCATGAGACCCCTGAGGATGATGCGATTGCGTGGCACCAAGCGGTGCAACGACCGGGCTGCATGCATGTTGGCCGCGCCGTCAGTTTCTGTCAAACAACGGCATGACATGTGTGAGAAGAAAAAATGACAAGGCTGTGTTTATGCGTGACAGTAGCCTGTTGGTGAGCAGTGCTCGTTGTGTTCACGGAGGGTGTGCCAGGGCCACAAAGAGAAGAGAGCCAACATGTAACACGTAGAAGCTGCTGTGTAGCAGCCTTTCTGCATAAGGGACGGAGAAACAAGAAGAATCATTGATACTGTTGACATGTCGTTATATCTTTACTCACGGCACTCGAAGGATATTTTTAGCATGCCGGCGCATCTTGACATGAGAACTGCTCACATGTATAAACGGCCTTGTGAATGCTAGCATTCTGGCAAAAATAGTTGCGCTGTGGTTCATTTGATAGCTGTTTGGTATACCCTTAGACAATAATTGAATCTCCCAACGCTAATGTACCGCTCATTTGAAGCTTCTACCTCGATAGCGGCTCGAGTTGTGGTGTGGTGTCGAGACCTGCACGGTGAGCATCGTGCCTATTCTATTGCGTGGTTGGTGTGTCAGCTTTGGGACCAAAAAACCTGTACATCGGGCGTGTTCAGCCGTAGAGCAACTATTACTGCATGTTTTACATTTCATCATGCGTCAACGGTGCAGCTCGAGAGGCGTTGGCAGCAGTTGGCTCTGCAAGGTGGAAATTAGCCTTTCGAACACGGAATGTGTTACTCGATGAATAAAGAATGAACAACTCCATGACTTGATTCACTGCCACTGTTGATGGTCTGTGAATAATCAGGCTCTCCAGGTATATAGAGCCACTCGTCTGCCGTCGACAAGCTGACAATGTCCCGGACAATCCATCCTCTCCATATCCTTTTCTTCACCTCAGAACACTATTTTACACGTTATTTCCCATCATGTCTCTGAAACAATTACAAATCACCCACCTTAACGACCGCCGTTTAAACAGAGTGGTCCCTGAGCTGGTTCTCGCCTTTGACGAAGCAGTCAATCACCCTTATCGGTCCGAAGCCTATGCACCATGCTTTTATCACGGCTTGCAGAGCGAGCCTTTGGGGGATCTTATAAAGGAGTATGCCAACACAGTCGAATTGGCTCCTTCTTACGCCATGGATGCAGAACGGCAGCAAATATTCAAATCGCTCGCTTTAACCTATAATAGGCGAGCAAAGAACCCAGGCAGAAAAATACCAGCCCTTTTCGCTACTCTTCTCCGCCTCGCAAGCTGTGTTCCTGATCAGCACCCTGGACAGAAATGTTTGCTCGACATTTTCGAGACAGTCCTCAACACTCCAAATACACGCTTAATGTCCGGGCAAGTCCCGGATCAATTCAAAGACGCACTGGAAGACCATTGGGCATTAGGTATGTATACAGGCGGGGTTTGGCCACGTAAGGACATCTGGATTTTTTTACTAACGCAACTCTCCGAAAAAGGGCCCTGGTCTACAAGCCATACTAGCATGGATCTCAAAACATTCCGACACGATGAATGGGTAAATTTCAACGCCTTCATCGCAATGATGTGCCAGGAGCTGGACAGTGATCAGAACGTCCATCTTCGTGGCTTTGTCCGATTTGTCGACCTCTCAGGCTTTGCCTTCAGGGGGATGGGTCTCGCTCTTATAAACTGTTATGACGAGATCGTTGAGAGTGAAGATAGGTGTCAGATTGCGGATCTCAGGGGTCTTACGGCTTCTAGGTGGGCTGGTTACTGTTGCAACCATCTTGTAATTGCCGCGCACAGCAGCAGGCCCGTCTTCACTGCTAGGACCGGTTATCTATGGCCCCTGGACCAGCATACGTGGGCCAAGATGGCACAAAATTTAATGACAACTATCGGCGAAATTGGCACACCGTGGATTTACGAGGCTAGTGTCAACACGGGCGTTTGGATGGTGGGGATAATGCCGACTATTCCTTGGCCCGGTCAGAATATGGGATTGTGATTGGACATGACGGTACTACCGACGAGACAACCTGTGGACATGGAGGCATTGGATTCAGAAGGTTCCATTTTAAGGATCGAGGAAGCTGTACCGATGCATGTTGGCGAGACTTTGGACTGTCGTTTTTTGGGATAACACCATCGATGGAAACAGAGCGGGGGAGGACGAGATTCAGGAAAATTGAAGGATGGAGGAAGTTGCATCACTTCAACAGTGTGTAACAAGGGCATGATACTGGAATCGAATGAATAGTTCAACATCAATTCAACAAGCAATTTCATTGTGTCAAGAATCGTTGGTTTTCCACAGGGTCTCGAGGGACCAGAGCTCTCTATAAGTGCAAGAATTGAGTGATGGCTAGTGCCTGAGGCGGCCCTCGCTCAAGGTCCGACTCCGGTCTCTCGTGATGTCTTTCTTTGTTGTTTTGTAACCTTTGAAGGCTGATACCTTTGTTTCAGCTGTGTGTATTGATCCGCTAGATGGGACGCTAGATACAGGTTGCAGCCGTGCAAAGTTCCCATACCAGACATGTCCAAGTATGCTTTTTTAAGAAGCCAAACGAGCTGTTGGTCGCGTGCTCACCACGCGTGACCTTGTGACTCATGGGTGGCAAGGACAAGCTGCGAACAAAGGATGCGTCGCATGTGAACGAGGACTCGACAAGGCAGGCGTTTTACAACTGGCAGCAATTTGTTTCAATGTTGAAAGCGGAAGCGCGACGTCGATGGATGGATAAGCCACGGTGGGGATGCACGGCAACAGCCGGCCGTCCCACGAATCATGTTTGCCGCATGTGGAATCAAGAAACGGAAATGGCAACAAGAGACGTCAACTGGTACATGTATGCTTCCATGTCATACCAGACTTGACTCCACCTCACCCAGGTCCGTGTACACTCAAACCTTGCTGGACGCGAGTAACCCTTTTGTTCATGGCAACACGTGCTTCCAAAGGGAAATCCAGTTTACACCACGTCCAAGTTGACTCGTAACATGCAGGCCGCCGGATTTGTGCCTGTGCGTGGCAGTACAATGGAGGAGCTGTTTCAGCACATGAACAATGAATCTTGGGCCGGAGTTTCTCCAGCCTCTTGAGGATTTTGCCGTCTTTTTTTTTTTTTTTTTTGCAAGAGCAAGCGCATCCTTTCTCACAGCAACCTACTCAGTCAGAGCCTCTATGTCCCTTTAATTGTTCCGCCTTGCCGCATCATCCTCACTGGCATCACGCCGCACCGTCACAAGACTCTTTATTGCGCTGCTCATTTCGATCGCCTCAAAGGTCAACTGCAGTGAGCGTCATCCGAGTCCGTGAATCTTTCAATGCTGTTTCGAGATGGAACCACGAACCGCCCGCGAGCTGCGTATCCCCGCCTCCGCGTCGGCACTGAGCGCAGCCATGGCATACAAGTACGACTGCGAAGCTCCTCCCGTCAACGACATCACTCATCCCACCCGCGCTCACGATTTCGAGCAACAAACTTCCAGCATTCAAGAGACATTGGGTGCTCCCCTGTCTGGGCAAATCATGTCGGTTCGAACTGCACATGACCATGTTCGAGAAGAATTTGGTCCCTGACGGTGGTTGGCAAACTGCTACCAAGGCTGCATTTTAGTTGGCTATATTGCATCAAATGCGCATGCACCGAGTCTTCCTGTATCTAGCCGTCATCAAGTGCGTGCCTGCCCCTGTCAAGTAGACCTGCCGCTTTAGCAATCAGAATGCTAACAGAAGCCGCACTGATAGGAGACATATTAGCCATGGTGTCGAGGCGAAGAACCATCCGGCGACTAAAAGCACGACAGGGTAACACGGAGCAAACTTTAAGAGCACAGGATACTATCTCTGAGCAGCCCTGGGCATATGAAGTCGTCATTTAAAGGATTCTTGTTTTAGGTGCAGCCGCTTGGTGGCTCGACCCGATCCTAGCCGCCTGTGCATCTTAAAACTTGGCTTCGGATTCCGACATGCCCTCTTCTTGCCTTCACCGTACCGCACAAAAAAGTGTGTAGCTGCCCCAAGTTCGCTGCACTTGTCGGAGCCGTCGTTCTCTTGTCCGTCTTGTTCAGCATTATATGCTGGACGGTTCCCGACCGAGGTTGACCGTATCGCTTGAACGAGGGCGTAAATCACGCTCAGCCGGTACGACTCGTTTACCATGGAACGTTTACACATTTACAAACGCGCCCTACATGGATAAACATGTGGCAGCGCGAAGCAGGTCAGGCAGACGAGGGTTTGGGCGCCGTGGGTAGATGCAATCGACGTTCTGCGCGAGGGCAATCCGCAATGAAGGCAACTTTTACCATTGCTTGGCTACTCGGTACTTTGCTCTGCCCGTGGCGTCAATTGCCGCCACATGCATAAGCAAGCGTTGTGTTCACTACCGATCGGCTGAGAGGTCACTGGTACATCTTGGTTCCGTGTTTCGACGCACTCCAGGCCGCGCTGGTGTTGTTGAGATGGACACTACATTTTGGGGACTTTTTCGCCATGCAGCTTTTATTTCTCAAACAACATTTGACTTGAATAGCCCATCTGCGTCGTCATTGAAGCTATATGCTATCGAGATGGTCAAGTAGATGGCCTGAATTGAGGTGTGAATATGCCTACCCGGGCCTAGGAGAGGCATTGAGTGCCTGAAGTGTGACCTCGCAGCATGCACGATGTGATGCATCGGGCATGCCATCACCGTAGCGTGGCTGCCAGCACTCTTACAGTCATTATTTCAGTGACATTGACATATATCATCCACTTTTGTGAGCTGTTAGGCCATGTTCTACGTGTATAGGTAGGTGCCGGCGAAGAAAACGGCAAGACATCTAGCCGGACCTCTTTGGTGTGTGCCTTGAATCTAGTGTCGCTTCATTCAGCTTCATGCCAGCAGTTCTGATAGAGTCACTCGGCATGCCTGTCAAGTTCATGTCATGGTCTCACATGCTGCTGGTCACCGTCATGGTGTCTCGCTGGCTTTGTCTGAGACTTGAGTGCATAACCGACTGGGGAGCAATCATCAGCACTATATGCAGAGTGCGTAAAAGAGACAAACCAACCAGATGGCATTAACATCTTATCATACTCACAGCTTATCCCGCCCGCCACTGAACCACTACACCAAGGCCAGCTTGTGACTTTACCCAAAGTTCCAAGAGGAGCTCCGTGCCTACTCGGGAACTACCAAGGGCAGCGGTACCACCATGATATATATACTAGATATGTGCAATTTGTTGAAATCGGCGCAGAGAAGGTATCTCCCACGTGCTCTGGCAAAGTTGAGTTCGCAAATCAGAAGAGTCCAGCATCCATCGCTCTGTCCCGCCGATGACTCTCCCCGGACATGTGCATGTCGTAGAAAGTGCAACGGCGGCCCAGCACTGCGCAAATGACCGGTTCTGATTGCGAATGCATTTCGCATCGGGATTTCACGTGCGGGGACAGAAATACAGACAAAAGAAAAAGAGAAGTCACATGGCGTGCCTTGGTAGAATCCAAGCCAAGCAGGATAGTGTCTTGGCCGTCTTTCATTTTAGTATATAAAGCCCTAAATTCCAACTTCCAAGACACAGCAATATCTTTTCCCTAATAAAGTATAGTCAAACAAAATCAACACCCATCATGCGTTATATGTCGGCTCTCCTCCTATCCGCCAGCCTCCGCGGTTTTGTTTCCGGGCAAGACGTAGACGAGACAAAACCAGCGCCCCCTGAAGCCGCAGCATACGAGATTGGAATACCCCTTGGCAACATCTCCTCCGACCCCAGCGACATTACTCCCCTCGCAGCTTCAGGAATCTTCGACGTCCTCACGTCGAAATCGTGGTCCCGCAACTCCAACCTAGCCGCGCAGTACTACCAAGACGGCACCGTCCACAACTGGGTGCGAAACGAAGAGAAGCCCAAAATGTCCATCATCAAAGTATGCGGCAATTACTTCTACGCCCCCAACATCTACTGGAAAGGCGGCCTCACCGGCAAGCACCTGCACCAAGACAACAAGCGCAACCAGAAGCAGTTCTACGCGGGCGTCACCCAGGCCGCCCACGACGTCAACGGCGAGTTTGTCACGCGCGACAAGCCCGTCGAGATCATGACGGAGAGGACCAGCTCCGCGTGCGGCTCCATCAGCTTCTCGTGGAAGAGCAAGGGAAACTGGGGCAGACTGGGCGACATCATGGACCACTTTCTGAGGATTTGGTTCGCTCCCCAGGATACTTGTGCCGTGTCGCCCTCGCACGGCGGCGGCAACGGGCTGCTGTGCGCGCTGCCGTGCGACCCTATTAGCCCGATGTGGTTCCAGTCGACGAATCTTTATGTGAGGCAGACGAGGTGGGTGAATGGCAAGCAATTGTACTCGAGTGTGTATAAGCTGCGCGGGCAGTTTAATAGCGGTGACGGCAATGGCGGCTTGAAAAACCCGACTTGGCTGAATGCGCAGTGCGATGGGGATAGGTTGTACTTTAAGGATACTCCCAATGATGCTACGTATGTGGTATTTTGGTAGGCGATTGTGTGGAGGAGTCATCGCTGTTTGGGTCTTGCTGTGCTTTTAGTCTAATGCAGGATGGACTGACTGCTATGGGCTCATTGGATTGTCATTTGTATTGATGATGTATTTGAGATTTAATTTGTGCAGAATGTGATATATGATATAGTGTGCAAATATTGACAAGCATGGCACTCAAGTCTTCTACGTGTCACATTCTCGAGGCCGGCTCGTCATTATGACGTTGTGGCCAATCTCTTGATGTCGCTTTGAACGGAGGCTATTCTTGGATAAGTTTAGGGTGGTTTTTTGAACTATTTAGCTGCACTTTCTTTCTTTGGGGTGCCTGTGTATAGCCATGTCTGTGGGGAAAATGCTATTGTCGTATGTGAACTTACATCATCCTTTAATCGTCTAAAGGTGACCAGATCCCCCTGATATTGGTTTCTTGCAATTGAGGCCAGAGAAAACAAAAAGTTATTTGCCAGCGTTAGCAAAAGCAGAAGGTAGAAGCATACAGTATTCGTCTCGGGTGAATTGCGTTGGTGCTCGGAGCAATCCGAAAGGGGTAATATTTATCGGCACTCCGGGTCAAGCGGGACCGTAGAAGGAACCGCGCCGGCGCGGGGTTCCGTTCTGGATAACATATCCGTCACTCCACCTTCAGGATCGTACCCAGGCGGGGATAAGCGAATGCAACTTACAAGTTCGATTATTTGTAGATGGCCAGAGTGCCTCGGTACTTCGAAATTGCTTGCAGCGGTGCATTTCCGCTATGCCACTTGATCCTTGAAGCCTTGCTCTCGTATATACTCATACCCTCCGAAGTTATTATGAATAGTGTTTTCAAACCCAAGGAGGCAAGCCCAGAAGATGCAAAGTATATGGTGCTATATTTCTACTTTGTTGACTATCCTAGACGAAGGCGCACCAAGACACCACGCAGCAGCTCGTTAAATTCACCAAGCAAACACAAAACTCAAGTACACCCCCGCGCTCGCGGCTACTCTCCCATCTCTTGTGCACCGAAAATGGTAATCAAGTGCAGCAGTTGAGTAGCCTAGATAGCCATACAGACCTAGGCCTTGCCCTCACCCTCAGGCACACAGACGGCAGTATAATAAGGGCCACCAGGTACCCGGTGCGACTTGATCTTGACGCACTCGCTACTTTTTGTCGGCTGCTCAGTCGGTCTCCAGTCTTCTCTTCTGCACTTCTCATTCTCTTCCCAATCATTCCTCATGCAGTACAGGAACTTGTTATACACATTCCTGCAAGACTCCCGAGGATGGAAACACTCCGACTCCTCCTTTTGCAGTCGCTCCTCCCTCTCCTGCTCCTCCTCGGCCTCAGTCTTCATCCGCCCGATTCTATAAGTCCAGCCGGCCAGATCGCACGCCTTCTTGGCTGCCTCGGAGTCGTCCATGCAGTACTGAAAGTTCAACGGATCTCCCACACGTTTACCCAAACTGCCGCAAACCCACCGGGGGCGAATACATGCCGCTTCTTCTCTGCGCATCTGCTCTTCCCTCTCCTTCTCGGGCAGTCCGTTTCTTTCAAGCTCGCTGGTGCACCTTTCTCGCAGTTCCTTGCCGATATCCGTCCTGGCATCGTACGCGTAGGACGTATCGCAGTCGTTCTTGTCGTGCCAAAACTTGCATCTCTTGACGGATGTGCTCCAAAATACACTACTCGCGTCTTTGAAGGGTATGCACAACTTTGTGTTTGGCTTGTAGTACACCATGACATTTCCCGTCGTGTCAAACGGCGATGAGCGGGTTCCGGACGCGCCGTAGATGGGGTTCGTTCGGAGCCACCGGCCGAAGCTTGTGTCGGCGCCAAACAAGCCGCCTGGTTTCATATTGGCCATCATGAAGTCGTACGCGACTGTCGCCAACCCTCCGGCGGTACCCGAAGCTCCCCCTAGACCGAATTTGCTCTTGGTCACGGAGGGTGCGGCTTTGAGAGCATTGTATAGGCCGGTTACTGTTCCGGGCGCATCTCTCGATAGCCCCATGAGGAAGTCCTTGAGGTTGTCTTGGTTAACGTTGCCGTTTTCATCTGCGAACTTGGCGATGAGCTCGGTGGCGTTGCTATCGCCGTCGTCGGCGTACTTGCACCAAACCTACAGGCAGCAGGTACATTAGCACGGTGGCAATAACTGCAGGTGAACCTTTCCCTTTCCACCACGGATTGCACATACCTGTGGAGACTTCATGGCAGTGTCAAGGCTCCCAGAGACACTGAATTGCATGCCGAGCTTCTCGCAAAACTTTGCCCCGTCTTCACGCGACTGGAGGGTTTTGGGGGGAACAGCTGGGTCAGAACGACAGGTCGCTGCGATTCCTTCATCAGTTACCTTGATGGTATCGGCTTCAAGCCCGATGATGGCGCAGTATTCTTTAAGAGGTTCTCCCCCGTTGTCTGTATCCCGCTTGTCGATCTTGGCAGGGCTTCCGGCGGCCAGTCCGGCCAGCAGAGTGATTAGTGTGATTGAAAGCTTCATCGTGGTTCAATATTTGCCGTATAAAGACGACGAGTTACTCAACAGAGTTCCAGACAAGTGCAGGGTATGAACTCGTATTTGTGTTGACTTTGTAGTATGAATAATGAAAGAATGTTGTTGATGAGTTTATTTTCTCTTGACATCGGGTTGACTTTATATACATGCACCTGTGCTTATACATTGGCGTCGGCACCTGTGAATCTTCATCCTTACTTACGTGCCAAGCCAACACCGGGTTCTCCTTCTATGCGTCATCGTACTATCATGCAGCATCGTCCCATTATGCGATTTCGTTCGTTTCTGCATCGGTAATAGCCATTGCGGAACCTCCCTTCCTACGAACACTGCCCTAACATGTGTCTGGCTCGTCCGTGCAAAACTATTATTTGCCGTAATTTCAGGATCACTTGGGCAAATTCGCCTCAACGTTGCGGTCCTGATGTGCCATCTTCTTGTCCATCATTCGACTTGGCATAAAATGCCAAAGCCTAAAGTCAGACTAACAAGACCGGGAATATTCCGCAGACACCACGGCATTTGATGCGTCATGTTGTAGCTTACAAACGTTAGTTTTAGTTGCCAACTTCGCCAAGTCCGTAAATCCGTTGCCTGAAATTCGCTTTGTCAATTTACCTTTGCATGGATACCCCAGGATCGTTCGCGGTACACCCTCTGGGCTTATTAGGTCAAGTGGGCTTCACTGACATCTTAGAACAGATCGGGTATAGGTGATTGTTCAGGGTCCCAGGGTCTTTCACAGAGAACAGACATGGAACTTCCCCAGACTGCACTTAGCAACGGCCGGCCGCGGAGTGCGAGCCAGGTTATGAACTGATGCCCGGCCCTGACGAGCTGGGGGGGGACAACTGACATTCGCATGATGAACTACTTGACTATTGATGTTGACTAGAGGCCCCTGCGGGCATTCCGAGACACGTGGCCGCTCGCGCCTCCCGGCGTCTGCTGAGGCTTCCGACGTTGCAGTCCCGGAGTATACGCCAAGAGTCCAAGAGTTTCGGTGTTGGTTTAGATGAACTCAATTGCTACAAAAGCTATCTTGACCAACAGTCAGCAGATTCTGGCTCGTGTGCCCCGCTATAGTGCATTACAAAGTAAAGATTGAAAGGATGGACTGACACTGACTTGCGCAATAGGTGTTTCCTCCCATTGACGTCCAGGGTGGCTTGCGATGGGTAGTGCTACGACTACACTCCGGTCTAATTCTTACCTGCCATGTCGCATAGAATACTCTTCTTTAGGTATGCCCAATTCCTTCACATACCACATGTGGCGCCTGTGATTGAAGCAGTAACTTGAAGTTACACAAGCTTTGCAGGCGTCGCACGGTCACGGCAACTACAACGAGCAAAGGGACAAAATGCGCACATATGGAGTTGAATATTTGCGATAATCGGCCACGGGCCGCTATTTTAAGATGTTTGGGTTAGTTCAACGCTTCAACCTAACATCCGTCCTGGCAGCAACCTAGCATCTCGCAACATGTCCAAGTACCCTGTTTCCGCTCTAGACTAAAGAAAGATAGCAAAGTCCCGGCATCTGCATCTCGCAAAGCCGACTACTTGGGAGGCCCAGCCCCCATGAGTGCCTTGACAGCATGGAAATTGTCGAGAACAGAACCCGCCTCCAAAGGCGCCCAAAGAGCGTCAATCTTGGCCGCCACCGCGGCACTCAGAGGGCCCTTCTTGATCGCCGCGAGGTTGCTCTTCCACTGCTCAACATTCGATGCACCAATAATCATGCCGTCGCCCTTGGAGGCATCTAGGGCAGAGTTGTGCGCCAGCCAGCGGTACGCCATTTCCACGCCCGAAATGCCCTCGGCCTTGGCAATCTCGTGCCACTTGTCCAGCGCCTCGAGTGCCGCAGGCTTGTTATACTGGAACTGGTACAGCTTTCCGAAAAGCCCTGCCTTGTTCCAGCGGCCCTGGAGAGACTGGTCGCGGAACTGCTGCGACGTCTTGGCGAAGAAGCCGCCCGCGATGGGACTGTACGCCACAAACGCAATGTTGTGCTTACGCAGAACGGGGAGCAGTTGCGTCTCGGGCAGACGCGCAATAGCGTTGTAGCTGCCCTGGAACACGGAGGGAACGACAAAGCCTTTGCTTTGGCATATCTGAACAACTTGCTCGATTTGCTCGCCCGTGTGGTTGGAAATGCCAAACCGTTTGAAGACGCCCTCTTTGTAAAGACCGTCAATGGCAGCAAGCGTCTCTTCGAAGGGGACGCGTGCATCCGGAGCTTGCAGGTACAGAACGTCGACCTAAGGGTGGGAAAGTAATAAATTAGCTTTGCAAAGCTGCAAGTTCGCACTCTGACAAATAAATAGCAACGTACCTGCTCTACGCCTAGCTTGTTCAGGCAGTCTTTGGCCTGGGCAATGACATTGTCTTTTGTCGCGGTCAGCATTGGGTGAGCACCACCTGTCACCTTGGTGGAAATAGAGAAATGCGACGCGAAGTTGAGCTGGCCCAAGTAGTCCTGGCACTCGCGGAAGGCAACGGCGGTATCGACTCCGCTGATGGCGTCTTTGCTCTCCAACAAGGCGTCGAGCCATGGCTTGACGTCTTCGGCCGACTTGTAGCCCTGGTCTGCGTTGAACAGAACGGTACCGAAATAAATCTTTGGCGCAGCCATGGTGATCTAGACGTTGTAGAAGGGGCAAGAAGTATGATAGGGTTTTGTCCACGCTCTGGAAATACTGTAGAAAGTGATGATGATCTCTGAAGATTCCACTCAGATGTCAGAGGAAAGACGGGTATTAAATACGTTGAGGCATTGCCTGCTTGGCCAACATACCCCCAGCCTCGTCCAAGATGTCTTCATTCATTCGAGCCCTCTTACTCGTTCTCCCCACGCACTGCAGGACGTCGTGTCACTGCAGTGTCCATTCTGCGTGTGGCGCATTACAATATGACATGCGACTGCAGCGCTGTCGGAAAGCGAGTCCGGACGTGTTGGTCGGGCACTCGGGGCTGCGGGCACTACCACGGAGTAACAGAACCAACAAATTCGGTGACTGGAGGCCGTCCCATGTTTCCCGGCTCTTGGGATCAATTCGTTGTAGCAAAATGCCTGAACTTGTCGGTCAAACCTGGATTTTCTCAACTAACAAGGTCAAGAAGCCGTGCTTGACAGGATTCATGAGGAGGCGACGAGTAAGGGGCCTATTGGTACGAGAGATTGAGTATAATCCCTCGAGTTTCAACCGTAACAACGATTGGCTTGCCGCATATGCAAAAGATGGTTGGTCGGTGGTTTAGACGGCAGACCCCTGAATCAAATTGACTGAGCCACTGCAGTTGACGTGTACTCCGTATCATGCAAGATAATTTCCTCGTTCGGCCCCCAAGGCTGATTGACTCCTGTGTTTCCCAGAAACCGCGGGCAGAATCCTTGCGAATCCATGTGTTGGTTCAGCCTATGGCTCGATCCTACTGAGAGCCTGAGCACGGCGATCATTGCGGTTACAGCCGTCTTGGCCGGTCCAGTTCTGCCACGTCTCATATTCTGCTTCACCACTTGGTGATCATCTCTCCTTATGCATTTCAGTCAGTTATCTGATAACATATCATGTTAACGTCCTTGCGCAGAAAGCCTTGCCGTTGGGCACGACGCCGTGGCTGAAGCTCAAGCCAGATCTGTTCAATCGGACTACAAGTCCGTGTTGGCATTGGTGGATGCCAGAGAGCTTTGGCCCAGTGGAAAACATGGCGTTGAATGGCGATACTCATTTCACGATGTAGTATCGAAAAACATGACGGAACAACACGCAACTTGGTTGGCAGAACGCCCTGAGCTGGCTGTCACATTAGGCAAGGTACGCTCACAGAAGAATATGCAGGGCTGCCAACTTCAAAGCTTCCTGCACAGCTCGGAGCCAGTCTCGCTTGGTGTTGGCACCTCAGGTAAGTTCTGCCAGGCTCAACTGGCTTTCTTCTTCACGTACGGCACCGAAGTGGCCATTTAGGCATCTGTAACTGACAGATTAGTAACTCGACATATCACAGCAGCAACGCCATTCATGTACCATCATAGAGCTAGTGTGCGTCTTCATTTGCGGATGTCTGCCAATAATACCAAAGCTCTTCCAGGCCACGAGAAACTGGAATTGGCTAAGCTACCACTGGTCTTGGATCGAGCGGCAATGAACAAGGGCCAGTTCTTGCAGGGTACCCTCAAGTTTCAACAACCGGATGCATGATGCATCTGCCGAGAGCACCGAGCGGCTCGAGCTGGGCAACACACACGTCTCCCATGCGTATCGGCATCAGTCAGGGTGTAACGCACCATCGAGGAATTGCCAGAATCTTACTCCGTAGAGCTCACTGATTTGGTCAGCCACATGTCGCAAAAATCATCCAATAAACAGGAAACCCACCTTAAAAACCGTGTAGCGTCAACGGTAGAATCAAGACAAATTCCTTTTCTATTTCCCAGCACATAAACGATGCGATTGACGTTGGTGCACGTAGAAAAAACCGCCAAGAAGCTCCTTCAGCAGAGCGCCGCGGTTGGGAGTCACGTGGCTGCTTCTGATCAGTGATCACTGATGATGGGGCCAAAATTCAAGCAGCACGAGCTCAAAACACCTCTCGGCTGCATCTTCAAGTCTCGGGACCGGCCAACAACCCGAGGCATCGGCACCCACAATGACAGATTCCATCATCTGCAGCAAGGGTATGTTTGGTTCCACCAAGTACAAAATATGCACTCCAGACGCGCATCTCATCAGCCAAGCCACTGCTGGTTGTAACTTGTCAGGTAAGTCGATTCCCGAGTCTGACCGGTCACTGCATCTCTTGGCAATTTGGCCTCGACCTTGGCTTAAGCTAATGGCTGGTGCCACACAGTCGAGACTCGACATGATTCTGATTGCGAGCCCACTTAGTCTGGGGAAACACAGACGGTACGGTCAACGTCAAGTCGAAACTTTGTGCAGTGTACCAGCCGGATGTCGCCCGTGTTACGCAGCGTGAGCTTCGCCATGCAAACCATCTATAGCATATTCGCGACACAAATATGCGCAAATGCATTTGTTTTTGCGGCGGGGGCCTAGACACCGCCATTTTCATTCATTGTGGTTGGAAGCGAGGCTGAGACGATGCTGTTGGGAGGCGGGAAGCCAGAAATGAAGCAACGCCAAAGACACCGCTAAGCCCATGAAAGGGGACGACCAACCTGATGACAAAATGCGCAATGAATCCAAATGAGGTTCAATCAGTCCTCCCCTCCACCATCATGACTTTGGACCTTCAACGAAGCCTCATCTCGAATTCCACTGGCGGCACTATAGTATTCAGCAGCACTCTTCTCACGCTCTTGCCCACACGAGCTCAGCATCATGGTTCAGAAAGTCGCGAGCCAACGTTTACTTCAACGTCTTTGCTACAAACCATCTCCCTGGGCGCGTATGGGGCCTTTAGCTAACGATTCCATCGTCACAAGCTGGCGCTCCACCTTTTTCTTTCCCTCCTCAAATGGTCAGGAGAAGCGGAACGGAACGCATCAAATCATCGCGGCTCTCTGTGGTTTTCCGGATCTAGATGTATTTTCTATGTCGAAAGCACCACTTGAATGGCAGCTCCAGCGCGTAAGTTGTTTCCAATGTCCATGTGTCCGAGAGTCCGGCGGTGACGTCGCGAAAGACTTTAGGAACGGCCACATCGGAAACTTGCATCAACTCACGAGGCGTCGAGTCGAACCGGTGAAGCTTATCGATCGCCTCTTGGGTCCTACGGCCACCATGCCTGGCTACTACTTCCAAGCACACTTCCCTGAACCCAAAAAGTATTTACTTCTGGTATTTACTGCCATTTATACCCAAGGCACAGCGAGAACAGACAAACCAGATTGCAAAAGAGAGCAGAACAAACATGCTGGCCAGTTGCAAAGCTATTTTGGTAACACCAATCTGGTCCTCGTTCGGCTGAGATCGGAATCCTTCATTATGGGAGGGCGTCTGGCACTCTGCTCTGCCGGTCTCCCACGTGCGAATGTGGTCCTCCCATCATGTGACTCGGCATCTTGACGAAGCACGCTTGGTAGTAGTTGGCGCGTAGTGCTATCACCGGATCACCAAGGGAGCCAAGGAATGGCCGGAAGCAATTGACCATAGGACTTCCGACGAGTAATGATGTTGTGGAGTGTCGCGATATCTCAAGCAGTCTCATTGCAGCTGGGTGGCATGCCTATCACAGTACGCCAAGAAGCCCGATAGATAACTGGACCCCATATGTCCCAGCTAGTACCTGTCTTCCAGTTGGGATCACTTCCACAGATGTCGAAGATTGACCTCGTGGACCGTTGTGGCGGCAAGACGACCCTAGGACTTTTTGGGCTATCTTGCGGCGCGACGCATTGAATTGCAGCAACTCCTCGTGTATCTACGGGACGAAGATGACATAGGTAGTTCACTTGTCTCGATCATGCCTTTCATATTGGTCGACTTATTGTCCACTCACGTGTTCTGGCGTGGAAGTGTTGGAATAGATGAGGGGAACATGAAAGTATTCAAGTGCTGTTGACGCTGGCAGAGATTTGATGAAGAAACCACGTTGAGCAAGTAAAGATATAAGAGTCGCCACCGTCGGTCGGCTCCGAATGTCTGGGAATTCTACATTGTGCGTGCCAGTTTTCCATGGGTGAAGTGTTTCGACCTCAACTGTTGGTAAACATGAAGACTTGACGCAGTGCAAGAAGCTTGGCGTGGTGTCAAGACAAGAAAGGAGGTGTGTATATAAAAACGCATGCACAACATATGCGCCTTACCTCGTCCAGAGCCTTCCTGCAGCCGGAAGGCCTTACAACATGACCACGTCGTCGCGAATGTGGAGTCCGGGGATCTGAATCCGGGACTGTGTTTGTCCTGCAGGCGATCATGTCACGATACATGCAGGTTCCAGGCTCGGTGCTACATGAACAGAGATCTGAACCATGAATTACAAGAGCGTGTGCGGCTTAAACATGCAGGCTGTGTGAGAGTGAGTTGGCTTTCCCCATTCAGGCACATCTCCCGGTACGATATTAATTCCTCGCTCGACCCAGATACATGGCGTTTCAATATTATACACTCTTTGCCGAATACTCCGGTTTTATGGCTACTTGAATCCACGGCATTTGTCAATTACATATGGACAATGTCTATTGTACTTGGGTACTAGAGCTCTGCTGCGCGACTTTATAAAGAGTGGCCTAGAGCCGCTCATTCTACTTCCCAAGTAGATGACCATTCAATTCGATCGAAAGAACAGACCTGGTATCGATCATCGGTTCGCAAATCCGCTCCCCGCGGAGGAAGCTCTGAATCAGACCAGGATGAGAGTGGAGGAAAGTGACGAGGCACGGAGGACGGTCATGACTTCTCTGCAACATCTGGCTTTATCCCCCGAGGACACTCATGAAACTATCCAAAGGATTGGATACATGGGCGCAATCAAGAAAGCTGGTAAAGGCATACTTGTTGCCAACCACATTACTCACAATTTCTCTGAGATAGTTGCTGCCGGCCGATCGCACTAGGGAGTGCCAGTCAGGGATAGAACATCATTCTGTCTTCTCGCTTACCCTTGCACTTTGGAGTAGCTACACCTCCTTTTCAGGTTCTGTCAGCCTTTTTGGAGACCAATGGGCACAAA